ATTTCTCGGATCGGCGCTGGACCCCCCCTCCCTGGCGCGCGGAGCGCGCCAGGGGCGGCGCCAGAGGCGCCGCCGGGGGGCCCCAGCGCCGATCCGAGAAATCCGCGCGGACCTCCGAGTCTTTCTGTTTTTATGCCACTTTTTGTTCCCCTAAAGAAACCCATCCCCGAGACCCCGGGACGTCCATGGCTTGGTCCTGTGGGAAAACGTCATGTTCACATCACTGTTTGTTCCCCTATCGACGCTGCGCGTGCTGGTTGCTCGCGTCGCCGAGGCGCCGAGGCGCGGGGGGCCGCGCGGGCGCGAGGGCGGGCGACGCGCCGCCCCGCGCGCGAGAGATGCGTGGCGCCCCTGCGGCAGCGAGCGCGGCGCGTCGCCGCGAGTCGCCCTGCGCGCGGCAGCGACGGCGGGCCCGCGCAAGAAGCGCGGGCAGCGACGGCCGTCCCCGCGCGGGCGCCGCACGGCTCGTGCGCGGAGGTGGCGCCGCCGACCCGGCGAGGTTCCCGATGCGTGCTCGCCGCGGGCATCGGGATATTGGGCACCCGCGACAAAACAACAACCGGGAACGGTGATCTCGCCAAAAAACGCCGCGCACGGATGTGGTTCGAGTTTTGGTCCAACCGCTGCGCGGCCCGCGTTTGTCTCTGCCGCCAGACTGCCAGAAGCGGGCGTGGGTATACAGTCGGGGCGTTGACCTAAGGAACCCTGAATAAGGAACGAGGCCCCTTTTTTCTCCATTAATTAAACTTCGATTTCCTATCGGAAGCATACGGAAAACCTGAGGCAAGCTGTGAAACACTTAATTAAGGAACGCGGAACCCCTCCCCAACGAACAGGGTTCCTTTTTCAGGGCCCCGACTGTAGTCAGGGGCTGCCTGACCTCGCTCTACATGATCAGCATGTTAACCCTTGCACACCGCCGTATCTCTGGTAGGCCACCGACGAAGTCCACTCGCACCACACTGCGCGAAGTCATCGGCCCGGTCGTTCAAAAAGAGTCCCGCGTGAGACTCCGATGTCCGCCATACTAGGCTTTGACCGACCTCGTCAAACAGGCGCCGGACATGCAAGGCTAGCCAGATATTCGGGCGCGCCAACGAGGGTCCGCGCGCATTACTGGCCACGCACCCCGAGTCGCACCCGACGCCACATCGTACAGAAGATGAGAAGGAGAGAGAGGATGAAGAAGACGACCATGCACAGAGATGACCACGCATGGAAGACAATGCATAAAACATGGCGCTCACCTCGCCAACATTTGAAGGGGCCCCAGGACACACGCAGAAATACACACAAATAAAGATGTTCCCCATATTTTCCCATATTTACTGGGTTTCTGTCTTCCCTCCCACTTCCCATATTTTCCCATATTTTCTGGGAATCGCCGATTCATTGTGTCTGTGTGTTTTTTCCCCTCCTGAACATTGTTCGAATGTCGGCACGCACCAGTGTTTGTTCGAATGTCGGCACGCACCACTGCAACAGGGGGCATCATCAGCCAGGATGGTGGGCCCGCAGGAGTCCAGTCCAGCAGCTGCGCCGCGCCCGGCAGGGATGCTGTGGAATCCCCAGCCGAAAGCCTCCTCGTCGTCCGCGCTCCCCTGAAGGAGCCGTCGCACGACACGAAGATCCCCGAACAGCTGGAGGGGCCTCCTCCTCCTCATCATCCTCATCCTCCGCCGCCGCCGCCCTCCTCCTCCTCCTCCTCCTCCTCCTCCTCCTCCTCCTCCTCGTCCATCTCCTCCTCGTCCTCCTCCTCGTCCTCCTCCTCCTCCTCCCTCCTCCTCCTCCTCCTCCTCCTCCTCCTCCCCCTCCTCCTCCTCCTCGTCCTCCTCCTCCTCCTCCTCCTCCCCCGGGCTCGCGCGGAGCACGCCGCACGGGCTGAGGGCCGACCCCACTCGCTCGATCCGCCTCGGCAGCGGAAGGGCGGACTGGCAGAGATCTTCCCTAGGGGGCCGCGACCGCGGCAGCGCCAGACGAAGGACCGCAGACTTCCCGCTCCGTCGGTCCACCAATGCTCCAGGGCAGGAATAGCGTGGAAGAGTGAATGACCCAACCCCGAGCAGCGGGTCGGGGCAGAACGACGGGAGCGTGCCTGCACCCGTATGTCAAAGAGCGAAGCAACCCGTTGCGTGTGGAGCCCGAAATCACAGCGTCAAGCCCGGAGTTCCCGGCTCGACCAGGGAAACAAAAAGTGGCATAAACATAAAAACTTTGAGGTCCACGCGGATTTCTCGGATCGGCGCTGGACCCCCCCTCCCTGGCGCGCGGAGCGCGCCAGGGGCGGCGCCGGAGGCGCCGCCCGGGGGGCCCCAGCGCCGACCCAAGAAATCCGCGCGGACCTCCGAGTTTTTATGTTTATGTCACTTTTTGTGCCCCTAACCAAAGCCTGCGTGGCGATGGCGCTCACTCGGAGCAGGCACGAACAGATTGCAACAGCACGGTCGCGGGCCACCAAGCACGCCTGTGTGGGCAGCCGGGGTCAGGCCGCACCGTGCCAAGCAAGGAGCGGGATGCTCTGGCCGTACGTCTGTCTGCAGGCATCGCTTCACGTGAGGCTCGCTGCTCTTGGGACTTTCAGGGACAGTGCCAGAGACGATGTGGAACAGATCCCACCGCCTGGCCACAACGTGCACATGTTGAATCAGGATCGTGGAAAAAAGGACCCTGGATAAATTAACGAGCCAAGAACGGTATAAAATAAACTTTTTCGCTGTCGGGGGCGCCTGTCCCAGGGCGGCTGGAAAGTTTATACCCTTACGGTGGCACCGTAGGGGTATAAACTTTCCAGCCGCCCTGGGACAGGCGCCCCCGACAGCGAAAAAGTTTATTTTATACCGTTCTTCGATCGCTGAATAAAGATGCCCACATGTCCACAGCCCGCCTGTGCTGAAGGCGGCCCTCCGTGGTGCAGCTGCGCCCAAAACGCTTGCTCGCGCGCCGGCCTCTCTTCGGACAGGCCGCGCGCGAGGCCGCCGCCAAAGTCCCAGGACGGCGAGCAGCCTCCTGGCCAGCAACAGAATGGCGTAGCAGAACACGCACGTCATGCAGCAGCTTGGATACTCCAAATATCATAATAGTGGGGGGGGTCAAAAAAGTGTTTGACGGCCAGTCTGGGACCCCCCCCCAAGACAGGCAACAAAAGGTCCAAAATCGAGACCCCCCCACAAATGTGTTTGACGAAGCCCGTGAGACCCCCCCCCAAAAGCAGACCCCCCCCCATTGTTATGAGATCCGGAGTAGCCGAGCGGCCCCCCGTAACTGGCGAGCACCTTCAGGACCAGATCATGTCGAATGCTGGTGGGCCCCGTCCAACGTATGCCTAGGACTTCGCACGCGCGATCTATGGACACCAGAGGCCCAAACCGTAGCGTCGCCAGACGGCGCCAAAAACTTTGCAGTTGGCTGTTTGGGAGTGCGCCCCGATCTCAATACCACGTTGCTCCACCACTGGTTCGTATGTTACGGGAGGGAGTTTGTGACTGGGCAGGGTCCGCTGACTCGGTCGACCTGGCGAATTCGATCTTTGTATGACGTGTGTGCTCTCACTTCCCCCCAGCTAGATGTTGAAAGCAATGCCAAATTCAAAGTGCTGCTGTTCAACACTAATGGACCTTTAGGCGTCGGCGTTGCAAGAATGCGTGGCGGGAGCTGGACACGGAGCACATCTCGCGCGAAAGGGCGAGATGTCGCTCTCGCCCCGGCTCCGCGCGCACGTGTCCTGAGGATTGAGTTCCCGTTCCAGGCGCGGCGCGCATCTTTCACACGCCAACTCGTCGACGCGCGGACGGACGCAACTGTGAACTCTGGCCTGGCGCCGTGAAGATTTGACCTGAAAGTGGCGGTCCCCGGAGCGGCACATGCTCTTCACTCGCCAGAAATTGGGGACCCTCGCGAGCGGGGGAAGATTCGGTCTCGCCCCTGCTCCCGCACATTTGAAGTGGAAGTGGCGGATCCGCGCGGCGCGGCGCATGTATCGCTAGCCGAATCGTACGACAGCGACAGCAGCAGCGGATCCGCGCGAGAATTCCGCCATGTGCAGAGCACGTTCTTTCTGGAATTGGCAGTGCCGATTTGGCGCGGCGCATAATCTGTCTTCGCCTCGCTCATCGGAAACTTAGCCGCCCGAGAAAATATCATTCTAGGTACTCCTCCATGCCGCACCGCCAGACGTCTCGCTTCGGTGGGCAAAGCGTTTCGCCGAAAACCTCAGGAGCGCTGAGAGCCTTCCGTGCCACCAAATTGCTCGTTCCTTCTGATGCCCCGATTGCATACCCCCCTCCTGGCTGGTGAAGACTTGGTTCAAACACTCCGTGATACGACTTGCTGCAAAGATGTACACGTAAGAGAAAGACCGAGCGAAAAACTGGCCGATACTGATAGAGCAAGAGGGAGGGATAACGAAACATAGAGAGAGAGAGAGAAACAGAGAGAGAGAGAGGGGGGAGAGAGAGAGAGAGAGAGGACGAGAAGAGGAGAGAAGGGGCAAGGAAGGGGTACACACTAGAAGCAGCAGCCATGTGGCCAGCGCCCGCGTCGTCCAACTCACCTCCCCCTGCCCCTCGCCCTCGCCAAAAGGGGCCCGAGATCTGCGGAAGCCTTCAGAAGGGTTCCGAGGATATCCCCCGCGGCCTCTGAGAACATCCCCTCCAGAGTCCCAGACGAACAAACAAACATAACATCACAAATCTGCCTCCCCCTCCCGGGGAGGGAGGGGGGGGCACGGGGCGAGCGGGAAGCGTGGCCCCGACCCCACGGGGGCACACGAGGAGAAGGGGGAGTGGCGGGCGTGCTGGGGGATGGGAGGAGGAGGAGGAGGAGGAGGAGGACGAGGAGGAGGGGGAGAAGGAGGAGGAGGAGGAGGAGGAGGAGGAGGAGGAGGGGAGGAGGAGGAGGAGGAGGAGGGGGAGGAGGGGAGGGGAGGAGGACTAGGAGGAGGAGGAGGAGGAGGAGGGGGGAGGAGGAGGAGGAGGAGGAGGAAGGGGGGGGGGGGGCGGGGCGGGCGGCGGGCGGAGGTCACCACCACCAGAGCACGCCCTCCTGGTCGGCGAGGGGGCCCGTCCAGGCCCTGGGCGCCTGAGGGCGGGCGAGGCGCGCTGTGCCCCGCGGCGCGCCGCCCCCGGCCCTCTCGCCGGGGAGGGAGGGGGGGAGGAACGGCAGAGGCGCTCCGGGGGGGGGGGGGGGGGCGCTCCCTGTTTACCAGCCTGGAACATATCCCTATCCCTATGCTGAGCACCCCCTCACCACGATGCCGATCTTAGGGATTCCCTTATTTTTTGATGGCGAATCCCTAAGATTGTCATCGCCTTTTGGCGTGTCAATCTTAGGGATAGGGATACGTTCGAGGCTGCTAACCTGTCTCTCGCGCGGGGGATCGACTGTCCACAGGAGGCCTGCCACAGGAGCCCCACCCCCGAGGCCCCAGGATGTCCCTCGACTTCTGGCGCGGGGGCGTCGCGCTTCCCACAGCAAGAGCATCGGAGCCCAAGGAACCCAGGGCAGCCTGGAGGCAAGCAGGGTGTTTCTTGGCATGGGTCTCCACTGCACAGAATCGATGTACCTCAAAATTGATGTTCTCGCCGAAGTTACGAAGCTACGGAACACACGTGTACTGCTCGTAGATATACGGAACCTTCTAGCTACGCATTTTCCGCAGACTCGACGGACGCCTCAATTTGGGGGTCAGGCAATTCTGCAGTCGAGCTCCTCCTCGATTCTCGGCGCCGGGCGACCAGGCGGCGCGGTCGAGGCTTCGGCGGGTTCGCGGCAGGGCGCACTGCGCACTCCAGAGAGCGGGGAGCATGCGGCGGGGGGCGGCCGCGGAGGAGGAGGGGGGGAGGGGCGGCGCTCAGGGGACGGGCAGGCAGCCACGACCAGTCTCAGGCCTGCCCGAGACGCCCCCCCCCTTGCAAGCCCGTGAGGGGATAGGGGGCCCGCTGCAGGGAGCAGGCGCTCACGCTGCTGCAGGGGGAGTGGGGGGTGCGGATGGGGGGAGTCTGGGGGCTCATGGGATTCGAAGAACGCTCGAGGGGGCTCCCGAGGGAGGGAAACGCGCGCCTTTTGTCCCCATGTAAGGCCACAGGGGTCTGCTGTCGGGCCCCTCCAGGGCACGACGTGTGCACCTTTCCTCACCTCCCCCCATGGATCGCCCCCCTCCCCCAAGACTAGGCAAGCGCGGTCCACTACTCACAGAGTAACTACTCGCAAACGGCCTGGATCCGCCGCGGAGGCTCTACGATCCAATACATCGAGGAAGGCACAGCGAAACGCAGCAAAAGCGCATCGATCCCTGAAAAGGGGAGCCGCCTCCCAGAAGGACAGGCCGTCTTCCAAGTTGACGGCGCGCACGGCGAAAGGCCTGCTGGCCGCCTCGCTCCCCTTGCAGACTTCCGCGGTCGCTCTTCGCGGCCCGGGGCTCCGCTTGTGACCCCTCCGCGAGGCTCCTGACCTCGGGGCGGGTGGGCGAGCACGCCCGGCCTGCCGTGGCACGCGGAGGGTGCAGGCCTCTGGCCGCTGCGCCGCTGCAGCGCGAACGAGCCTGGGATCTGGGCCTCCACCGGCACCAAAACCTCCAACTGGCCATCGCTCGGACGTCCACTCCCTGTGTTTTTTTTGTCGCTTCCGCGCGTGTTTTTTTGTTCGCCAACGACCCACGGGCACGCAGCGCCCGACGGGGCCAGGGGCCCGCGCCCCCCGCGGCGGTGGCGCCCGCCTCCGCGCGGGTGGCCTCGCAGGGGGCGCGGGGGCCGCCTGCCCCCGGCGGGTGGGGTCGAGGAGGCGGGCGGATGCGCCGATGCCATGGGCGGAACCATTGCCACCGCTCGAACGGCGGCGACAATGACGACGACGACGACGACGACGACGACGACGACGACGACGACGACGACGACGACAACGGCGACACCGACGACGACGACGGCGACGACGACGGCGACGACGGCGGCGACGACGGCGGCGACGACGGCGACGACGGAGGCGGCGACGACGGCGACGACGGAGGCGGCGACGACGGCGGCGACGACGGCGGCGAGGGGCCGCCTGCAGCTCCCCGCCGGGGGAGAGCACCAGCGCGCGCGGCCGCAGCGGCAGCCCCTGGCGCGGCGCGCGGGCGGCGCCCTAGGGCGCGCCCGCCCCGCTGGCGCGCACTGGGGGGGGGCCGCTGCGCGAGGGGGGCAGCGGCCTACCGTTGTGGATGTCACGACAATGGACACGACACTCTAACAGTCCTATCATTGAATTAAAGGTGTGCTTAAAATGTGTAACACATGTTCTAAACATGTTTCAAACATGTTTTTACGTCGTTAAAGCATGGTTGAAACATCTTCTACACATCTGGAAATGATTTGGCAGCATGCTTCCTCTCCGTTGATCGTCCTCGACGACCGCTGGAAATGCTCAGGCTCGGGTGTTATTTATGTGTAGGGAGGGCGGGTGGGAGTGAGCTAGACGGCTTGCGGACGGGTGGGTGTCTGGACACCTCCCCCTACCCCCTCCCCTGGACCTGGACGGAGGGTCCAGCGAGGGGTTGGAGCGTCCAAGACGGCCCAAGATGGCTCCAAGAGCGCCTCGGAGAGCCCAAGATTAGCTCCGTGATGGCTCAAGATTCCCCAAGATGCCTCAAGATGGCTCCCAAGATGCTTCAAGAGGCCCCAAGACCGCTCCAAGACGTCTCCAAGTGGCCAAAGAGCTCCCCAAGGAGGCCCCGAAGAGGCCGAAATCCTTCCAGAACCTTAGGAACATCCATGTTGTTTGCTTTCTCGCCTTTTCGCTTCTGATGGCCTTCCAAGGCCTCAAGATGGCTCCAAGATGGCCCAAGAGGGCCCCAAGAGGGGCCCAAGAGAGCCCCAAGACGGCCCCAAAAGCGCCCAAGAGCGCTCCAAGAGCGCACCAAGAGGGGCCCAAGAGGCGACTTTGGGGGCTCCCAAGGGGGGGCGAGAATTGAGAAACCCCTCGTGTTCGAACGATATCCCCCAAGATGGCCCCAAGAGTGCCCCTAAAGCCCAAAGAGCGTCCCAAGAGGGCCCCAAGAGGCGCCCAGACAGCCGCAAGAGGCGCCCAAGAGGCCTACGAGAGGCTCCCAAGAGGCCCCCAAAAGGCCTCAAGAGGATCTCCGATGCACCCAAGACGCGCAAAGAAGCCCCTGGGCTCGCCAAATTGATCCTCCTCCTCCTCCTTTTCCTTGTCCACTGTCTCTTCCCCCTTCTTCCTCATCGCCCTCCTCCTAATCCTTCTCCTCCACCATCCTCCTCCTCTTGGGGTATCGGACGGCTTTCCCCGCTCTTTGATCTTCTGCATGCCCCCAAACTTCCCTGATCACCTCACCTCCCCTGGCATGGGCATCGGTTCTGGATGGGCTGGTGGGGATACATGAGGCGCCAACAATGCGGCTCAAACATGTCTTACGTAGCTGAGTTGTGCACAGGGAGACATTTGCTTGAGCAGCGATGAGAGCGAGACACCTGGATGCGCCGCCCCTCCAATGTTCGGGAGCGGCCAAGAGGGGGGTGTCCAAGAGGGGGGGGTGCAAATCATGACCGGCGGCATGTGCGCGGCCCAGCGGGGGGGCCAGGGACGTACTGAAATAAGAAGAGGCGCCATGAGATCTGGGGAAAAATCATGGCCCGCGCTATGGAATCCCCCCCCCCCTAGTCATCACCCCCTCTTTTCCGCCCCCGACAATGTCGGTTCCGACTCGCTCCCGGTCAGGCCACCGTCGACCCCCGACACTGGAGGGCGTCGCTTCGACAGTGAAGGGGCGCGCCGACCTCGAAGGGGCATGCCTGCCATGCTTGAACTTCCATGG